AGTTCATGTTTTTCCACTCATTAAATAAACAGGAAATTTCTTGGGAATATTTATGATAATATTTTATATAATATCTTTAGCATATTTTGATGTCACTGGACTTTAAGATAATTGTAATTTTATTTGCAAGTACGTTTGATCTTAGATGAAAGAGAAAAATGGCTAGAAGGATCCTTGCAGACAGCAAATTCCAGAGAGGCTTTCTCTCAAAATTACAGTTTGTTAAGCCAGTAACCCAACCTGGTACTATTTATATTTCTGACTTAGTACATTACCTCTCTTTTGTTTTTTTGCTAACTACTTTATATAATCCTTATGACTAGGAGTGCATTCAATATGAATTACTGAGAGGGAAAACACTTCGATAGTAGTGGAACTTACTCATTTGCAAAATGCTACAAACTCTCTAGGTGAGAGACATTCAGGAAAAAAGTGCATTAATTGACTGATGTTTATAGTTCAAAAGAGTGTAGTTTGTGGGGAAAGAAATAGCATTTCTCTTCATGCATTGTTTGCTAGTAAATAGGTGCCATTCACAGTGCTTGAATTTTATATTCTTTTTAAATTCTTGGCTCTTTCTTATTAAAGACATTGGCATGTTAATACTTGGATAGAATATTAGCATGTTACAAAAATCACTTTTAATCTTTCTTGCAATATTCTTTCAAAGGTTTTAGGCTATGATGAATCTAAAAGCACATAAAACTACCTTTATTTTGCACCCAGGCAGCAAATGAAAGAATAAAATAAATGTAAAACATCATTGTCAACTTGAAGCAATAACCTAGCACTTCTCTTTTGGTAAAACATATCTCACCTGACTTCTAAAACTGTTTTCTTTTTATTATTCATGAAATCGTATCTATTAAAATCACTCTTCTACATGATAGTGTGCTTATGTTTTAGGTTCTGAAGTTCATGATATTTTGCAATTTGATTATGATGATTTGTTAAAGAGTTGTTCAGGGGATAAATGTGAGAGGTCAAAGGAATGAAGGACATGCTTTGCAAACATACTCGCAGATCTGATCCCCAGTGCCACATGGTCACATGGTCTCCTGAGTAACATGTCCGCCCTGAGCAATGCCAGGTGTGGCCCAGGAGAGAGTATGAGAGAGAGAGAGAGAGAGAGAGGAGAGAAAGATAGAGGAGAGATAAAGAGAGAGGGAGATAAGGAAAGAGAGAGGAGAGAGGAAAGAGAGGATATGAGAAGAGAAAGAAACAAGAGAGAGAACTAAAATACATGGTTGAATACAATATTTTAATGTTAGAACCTAAGTCTTACTTGAAATATTGCTTTATAAAAAACTTGGTCTAGACAATGACTTAAAACTTATGGAAACTAGTTTGAAAGTGCATGCAAAATAGTATCAATAGTATAGTTTTCTACCTTTCTGTATTTAACATCTAATTGGTGGCAAGGATTTACTTTTGTTTTGTTTTGTTTGTTTGTTTATTTGTTTTTTAGTACTCAGAGATCATTTCTGGTGGTTTTCTGGAACATATGGAGTACTGGGGAAATCTGGATTTACCAGCTAGTACTTCGAGTCAGGCACTTACAAAACAAGTGCCTTATTCTCTGTACTAATAGCTCTTTAGCTCAGAGGAAAGGATTTAAAGACCCAATAATTTCTAAATATTCCCTTACTTTACATTTCATTTGTTCTTAGTTTTCTAAGCCCTTTTAACACAAATTATTTACAGTATTGTAGAATTATAAGAATTTACATAGTAGATAAGAAACTTTAAAACAGATAATTGGTTACCTACTAGACTTGTAAAAAATTTTCTACTTAAAAAAATTTCTACTTTACTGCATCAAACTTACATGTCATAAACGATGACTATCACTTTTTTAGTGCAGTATTTGCTGAATATAAAAAATTCAGTATATACTCATAATAATGATGTTTATAAAATTAACATTTATATACTGTTACTAGAATAGTCCTGTACCTACAACAATTACATTTAAATATCCAGACATTAAGATACTACCAATTTTTGCTACCTTGAAATAAAACTTTATAATGGCTTATTGTCTCTTAATATCTATGATTCATCCTAGACATACTTATTCTCATTTATAATCAACAGCAAGACAATTTTTGTAGAATTAACATCTTTTACCATGTGATATTCTTAAAACAAATTAGTCTCCCAGATTTACAACTCTCCATGTTGAGAGCTGATTTCACTTTATTACAGTGAAAACCTATTTCTATATCTAAAGCATAACTCTAAAATATTTAAGCCTGAGGGATTGCTAACAAAATCAAGATTCTGTTTACTGTGTAACTTTTCTAAAGCTAAAGTGCTTCCACATAGAATATACTGTTCAGTAAGCCCCAATACCAATAAGACATAAATAGATTTATAAATTTTGGCTCTTTCTAGGTAAGATGAAAATAGAATGAAAATTAATGCAGGTTTAGAAAACATGTTTCACTTAAATTCTAAACTTAGCTATGTCATTAGAAATGTGTGTCTGTGTGCGTGCACACACGCACATGCACTGAAACAAAATTATTGACTAAATATTATTTCTGCAACTAGTTAATTTAAAAGTAGGTTGAAGAGATCGATTTCTAAAGACTGCTATAATTTTTGCAGCCCTTAAACTACAGATTAATGAGCCTTGAATTGAAGGACTCAGTTGACTCATTTTTGCACTCCAATTTATAAGTATTCATTCTTCTGGTACTTGGTAATGGGTTTTCAATATATTGATGCACTAATTGGTGACTTTGTATTATTTCTTTGACTTGGCCCATATTACTAGATGTACTATGTTAAACATCTAAAAGAGAGTGCAGAGTTGTAATTGGAAATATGGGTGATGACCTCAGGTTTTAGAAGTTCTTCGACATTACCAGAACCTTCCATAGAAGAGCAGGTTGGCAAGACTCTGAATACTTCTCTACTTTTAAAGAATATAGTTATTTTATAAACTTGCACGCTATACATCTTCCTTCGGTTTTCTACACTTTACAGAGAAAGGATTCTATATACTTAAATCTATCATTGAATTAAGTTGATTATTTTTAGCATGATAAATTATACGTCTATGGAAATCTTTTCTATCTAGGAGGGAATTCACACAGATATACTATTTCCTGGCCAGAGTGATAGCACAGCAGGTAGGGCATTTGCCTTGCACGTGGCTGACCTGGTCGGCCCAGGTTCGATTCCTGTGCTCCTCTTGGAGGGCCTGGCAAGCTACCGAGAATATTTCGCCCTCATGGCAAAGCCTGGCAAGCTCCCCGTGCAGTATTTGATATGCCAAACACAGTAATAACAAGTCTCACAATGGAGACATTACTGGGCCCGCTCGAGCAAATCGATGAACAATGGGAGGACAGTGCTAAAGTGCTATATTATTTCCTGATGCAATGTGATTAGATTAGATACTAAAAGGGGGAATCTATTTTGGGCTAAATCAGAAAACAAAGTTTGCATTTCAAATTTGGAACATTTGCTCTATTTTCATTAAATTTGTGGTGATTTGTATCAACTCCACTGGAGTTATGTAGTAAATAAATATTGACTCCAATCGCAGGATTTTTGTATCACTACACTTAATTATAAGATCCTTTAAGGCAGTGATAGTACCTTGCCTATCTTTATGTCTGGTTTGGACATTGCCTAATACAGGATCTAGTTCAACCTGGGTAAAGAAACAAACTTCAGGATCAAGCATGCAATGTGGTGATCTTCCTCTGCTCAGATACTTCCAGTGACTCATATAATGTTTATTCCCTCACCTGGTGGTCTGAATTTTTGCACATATTTCCTTCTTTTTGAATTTAAGTTCACCTCACTATAACTTCTATTTATTGGAATGAACTGTTTGTGTGGATTCTACTGGTGTGAAAATTTAAGAAGAAAACAACTGGAATCACCAGTTGATCCAAATAAATGTCATCAAGTATCCTGTTTTTATGGTTTATGACAAAAATTAAATAAAATTATTAAGGATTCTCTGAGGTGATGCTTTCCTTGAAGAATGTCCAACATCCCACCTATTCTTACTTACTGATCTACACTTGTATCCAGATCTTAATCTTAAGTAAAATGCTGTATAGCAGTAAGTTCAGGGATAAATTATCCTTAAACTTAGTGTGATAGTAAGTAGATTTTGGTTTTGCAAGGTCCCAAAAGCCATGGCCACATGAATTACTAAATTGCATAATTACTAAAATGGAATTTTTATAAAACAGCCTATTGTTATTTTCTGTGGGCTAAAATTGTCACTTAATTGAAACAAACAAAAATATCCCCAGAAATCCATTGTATTTCATTTATCACTCAACAAATAAGCATTAAGACCTTACACTCTATTAACTTGTTTGTTTCCTATGCATGCTTCCTATAATTTTCCATTTTATTATGTTTAACATCTTATATTTAATGCCTTGATGACAAATTTACCTAGGCTCTTGAAATGATAGAACAAGGCCTATTTATTTTCTCATAAGGTAAAGTTAGATTTTTATAAATATGGGACTTCAGGAAAAAAATTCAATTTATATGTAATTGAAGTTGGACATTAATGTACCATTTATAATGGACATATTTCTATATATACTTTTGTTTTGATATTTCAGAAAATCGTTAGTTTTATTAAATAATATTGATATGACAAAAAGGGAGCTGTATTAAATGTTCTTAAATGTTATTAGGATTGCTTCCCACTTACTGCAAATTACAGCAAATTGGGTATTTAAATACTTGAAAAACATAGTTTTAGATTAGGAGAACAAGTCCCTGCAAGTCATCTAAATAAAATCACTGGGAAGTTTAATAACATCCTGAGTAAAACGGTTTTGCTTTACTTCTATCTTATTCACTACATGAATACTTCTGTCTTCACAAAAGTAATAAGCAGGTAAAAACAGATCAAATATACACAGTTGTACAGTTTGTTCAACTAAGAAGTCAAAGAGGTTAGAATTCAAATACATACACTTTTCCTTTGTTACATTATGTAAACAGAGCCAGCGATTGTAATGTTTAGTGAAAATATTTTATATTTTAAGATATACATCATTGTTTCTTCTTAATAGATAGACCAGTTGATCAATGTGGGAACAACAGATAGATCACAAATTTACATTATGAACAACTATAAAAAATGTGAAATAACAATTTTTTACAAATGACTTTAAAGAATAAATACATAATTAGGTATATACAGGATAATTTAAAATCAAAAGAGTGATTGCTAATGATGAGCTCTTAAAAAGTCTCCATCAAAATATACATGTTACCCGAGAGAGTGATTAAAAATAAATTGTGGCAGAAAAGCATACTGTCTCTCTTTTCATCCTCAAAATTTGGATTATATCTCTTCAAAATAATTTGCCAAGAGTGCAAATGATGTCAAATCTTAATTCCAAAACCATTTTTCTAAATTACCCACAGATTTATATTCTTGGTGCCTTTTTACATGATCACAAGCCAAGCATGCATGTGATTCCCAAAATCGTGGAAGAGATACTGTGAAATCTTTCCTCCAATTGAAGTAACTAAGATACAATTTATTGTCTTTGTCAACTTCCTTCAGATAATTTGCTAGCTCACTGGGAGAGTTATAATCTTCCACATGAATGAATGAATCTGCTGGAATATAATTCTCATAATTTTCCCTAGATGGCCCCAGAACAACAGGTACAGAGCCAGCCCGAAAAGCATTGTAGAGCTTTTCTGTGATGTAATCTTTGTGGATTGAGTTTTCAAAAGAAAGATAAAATTTGCAAGTAGATATGGTAGGAATTAAATTTTTATTATTCACATACTCTCCAAATGCTTGCCCATAGGTATGAATTTCAATACTTTTGCTTAGCTCATTGTAATATTTGACCCTGGCATGCTCAGGGTTCCAGTTACTTACAACCCAGCAGACTAATTTCTCTTTGCTTGGCACTTCAAACACAAAAGGGTTTGTGTTCACCATCAAGAAGCCATAAGGCACTTGGATATCTGAATCACGACGATAAGTCAGAGTCAGGTTGAACAGGTGCTCAATGCCACTCTTTTGAGGTGTGTGCGTTGGTGATTCCAAATTCATCCAAATCCACTTCTGGAAGGGTGGTCTAGCCTGCTGAGGTAAATTAGTGAGATCCCAGCTGATGTCTCGGTGATGGATAAGAACTGCATGAGCTCTATTGTATAGGGAACGGTCTGTAGTGAGATGACATCCTTGGATGTTGAACATTGCTTGGCAAGATGTAAGATCAAAAGTTTGTCCAAATGGCCACAACCAAATCAAAATAACAGTTTCATTAAAATAATAAGTTTTGGTGGAGAATAATTTTTTTAGTTTCAGCATTGAGCTGGCTGACTCCATGGGACTGAAGATCCAGCTGTTGGTGGGCTTGATATAAATGAGCAGACATGCCATGAAGCAGCCCAGGATAATGCAGACGATTAAAAATGGGCGGAGAATTCCTTTGGATGCTGATGTCATAATTTTTTCTGTGAAGTAGAGAAAGAGGAGTAGATAGATGTAGGGATAAAGAATTAATCGTAAAATATGATTTGAGATAAATAGGTTGTTGTTCTAACTTTATCATCTCCTTAATTATCAAACAACCCTAATCATGGAGGCCTTTAATTGCCTCCTCTTCAGAGATGTTCAAACTGAGGGCCAGTGATATAACCAACACTTGTAATTCTTGATTTCTGTGATCTTCTCTAGATAAATAAACATCAATACTTAAATGAGTTATACTTGTAATCTCGGGATTTTCTGCTTTAATTTTCCTGGTTTCTACCTTTTACTCTAAAATTAAAAAAATATATTAATGAGGTAACTGTAGAGTAATACCTTTTAACATGAACACTTACTGGTACTTTTTAGTGTCAAACATCAATCTGAACACATTAATATATACAGAAAGACATAGATAAAAGTATGTTTGTCTCTATTTTTCTATATGAACATATTTTACCTCTCTATTTTACTATTTTATTAATGAACTGAAGTCATAAATAGTTAAGAAACTTGTTCAGGGCCACATAGCTGGCAAGTAAAAGACACTTTCAAGTGAAGATTATCTAGCACAAGAGTCAGAGCTGATTACATTTAAGATGGACTGATTTCTTAGGTTTCAGCCCGAGAATCCAATCATACTGTTGATACAATAGTATAAATTCCATGAGAGGTTTTTCTTCTTGAATATCATTTCCTCATTATCCGACTGGAATGGATATTTAATGAATACTGTATATGATACATGAATGGATTGATAGAAGTACTAATTAAGAGCATGGTAAAAAGCTTGCTAACTAGATATTATAAAATGAACCAAATATGAATAAGTGAACATATTCAATGACTTTGAATATGCTTTTAACATTAAGTGTCTATAGAATAACAGCCTTTACTATTTGATAAAAACTGAAAATTTGGTACAAGTATCATTTTATTAAGATTTCAAATGCATATAATTCAATTTGCCATTATGAGATGGCCTTCATTCATAATTTAAGGATATTCTAGTCAATGTTAAATAATGAAAATACTTTGGGAGACAAGGTTTTGAATTGTTAATCTTAAAGTAGTTCAGGGATTAAGGAGAGAAATGTGAAACCAAGGAGAGAATAGGATGCTTCTTCATGGAGTATTAATTTGGGGGGTGTGGATGTGTGTGTCTAATTTTAAATAGAAAGAAATAAGAATGCTGTATAAAACATAAATCAATTATTAGTTTTAAACTAAGAACACGAGTGTGGGATTGTAATTTGCCTAAACTCTTGGGGCTTTTGTTTTAGATTGCAGCTACCCTGTATGTCTATTTACCTCTCAGTCTGATGGTAGCAAGGATGCGAGGATAAAAAAAATATTTCTTTATGTCATTAAGAATCTAGGGTCAATTAACTTTCAATCACTGTCTTGCTTTTCTGTTTTTAGTATGGATACACAATCAAACCACTGATGATGCTTTTTTTTAAAAATCTTGGATAAAAAGTTAAAAATATAGAGACTATTTGAACAGGAACTAATTTGGATACACTTGAAGATCTTCAGAATAACTTCAACCAAATCCAAAAACCAGTAACCAGTAATATTGACAAACTGACAGTAGAAAATGAAAAACAATTTATAAAAGGAGAATATTTCTACTGCAGTCATATTGCAACTGCTTCCCAGTGAAATAAAACATACTTTTAAAGTGTTTTCTATGCTGCCTGGACAATAGAAAGCACTGTATTTGCTATACTGTTATATTATTCCTTTAACATAGTAAAACATCAGAACTCTCAGTATAGATGAATCTCTTTTGGAATAATAAGTTACTCTTAATTTCTATCTATACAGGTAGAATATTTGTTTACATATTTGCTTACATTTCTAAACACACACATATGCAGAATCTCCTATCAATTTAAGACATGTCTATTATTAATACTACCTGTATAGACTTTATATATGATAATTTCTAATGAAAATAAGCAGAATATTTCAATATCTATGAAATAAGCCCTTTTATAAAAGACTCCAAGCATGATATAGAAAAAGGTTTTGCAGCAGATATTTCTTGCTTTAAATGTTTGGCAATCACTTCCCTTCCCCTTCTCATGATAATAGTACTCTGGTTTCCCAGTGGGTATCACCTCCCCTCCCCTCTTGCACTATTAGTATCACAGGGGATGATATCACCCCATTTTCAAACCAATGTTGAACAGAGGAGCAAGATAATTCAAACTCCCTAGGAGTTAGTAACTTGAGTGGAAAGTCTAAGAGGGAAAATATTGAAGCTCATTAATCATGGCGGGGTTCCTTGAGATGATAATTAATGCAAAATCTGCTACATGGGGCCAACAAGCTACTCATATCCACTTTCCTGGATTTAGTTCTTTAGATAATTCCATGTACCTTTTATATTTTGCTTACATTAACTATATTTTTTTTACTGTTTAACAAAACAAAGACAAACACACACACACACACACACACACACACACACACACACACAATACCAAACCTTAACCAAAGAAGAAGAAAAGAGGATTATCTCCCTTCTACTGTTTCTACTTTTTCAAGATAAGAAGTACATAACCAGAATTTTCAGAATATATTCTTAAATTTCTAGATTAAAAAAAAAACTATAATAACCAAACACACTAGGTGTTGACCTGAAAAGAAAGCAGAAGGGCTGTTAGCCTTTTATGCATTTGACTTTAGCACTGCACATGAACACCACCAGAAGTTACACCTGAGCAAAGAGCTAGGAATAACACCTAAACACCATCAGGTGAAGGCCAATCCCCAACAGTCAATAAGCAGATTATATCATTCAACTAAAAAATACAAAATACTATTAACTAACTCTATTGCTTTTCCCAACAAATAAACAAATCTCACTGCATTTTAATTGATAAACTCTACCCAGATTTTAGGTATTTAGAGGCAGATAGTGTTTAATTGAACTATGAGTAATCTTTTTATATAGGCTCAGAGGACAATTTGTTCCCATATGGCCACTGTAGTATCTAATGTTATTAGTATGCTTTCTGCAAAATATTTTGAATACTACACTGCAAGTTTGAAATTTAGATTGCACTGTAGACTGTCTTCCCATTGTTCATCGATTTGCTTGAGCGGGCAACAGTAACGTCTCACAACAAATTGTGAGACGTGTTACTGTTTTTGGCATATTGAATACTCCACAAGGAGCTTGCCAGGCTCTGCCGAATGGGCTGGATATTCTTGGCAGCTTGTTGGGCTCTCCGAGAGAGGTGGAGGAATCAAACCCGGGTCAGCCACAGGCAAGGTAAATGCGCTACCCTCTGTTCTATTGCTCCAGCCACCCCTCCCAAATTTAGATTAGTCTTATAAATTTAGAAATTAGATTAGTCATTATAAATTTATAAATTTAGGTTAGTCATTGAGCTGGAGCAATAGCACAGCAGGTAGGGCATTTGCTTTGCACACAGACAACATGGGTGAACAGAGTTCGATTCCTCTGCCCCTCTCGGAGAGCCTGGCAGGTACCGAGAGTATCTCACCCACACAGCAAAGCCTGGCAAGCTACCCGTGACATATTTTATATGCCAATCACAGTAACAAATCTTATAATGTTACTGGCCTGTTCAAGCAAATCGATGTACAATGGGAGGACAGTGACAGTGACAGATTAGTCATTATAAATATATCTTTTTTTTTTTTTTTGCTTTTTGGGTCACACCTGGTGTGATGCACAGGGGTTCCTTCTGGCTCTTCACCCAGGAATTACTCCTGACGGTGCTCTGGGAACAATATGGGATACTGGGAATTGAATCCCAATCAGCCGTGTGCAAGGCAAACGCTCTACCCGCTGTGCTATTGCTCCAGCCCCTATAAATGTATTTTGATGTTATTTTAGCAGGTTTGTTTTTAACTCTGATTTCTATGTTGTCTTTTTATAAAACTAAAACAAAAGTGAAAAGCTTTATATATATTCTATATTCTGTCACTGTCACTGTTCTCCCATTGTTCATTGATTTGCTCGAGCGGGCACCAGTAACATCTCACAACAAGTTGTAAGACTTGTTGTTACGTTTTTTGGCATATTGAATATGTAATGGGTAGCTTGCCAGGCTTTGCCATGCGAGCAATATTCTCTCTCTCTTTCTGTCGGTAGCTTGCCGGGCTCTCCAAGAGGGGCAGAGGAATCAAATTCGGGTCGGCCAGATTGGCTGCATGCAAGGCAAATCCCCTATATTGTGTTCTATTGCTCCAGCCCTATACCAAATTATATTCTGCTTCAAATTTTTGTGAAAGTTGATGTATTTATTACTTTATTTTCAAATATTTCTCTAAAACACATATACCACTAAATACTTCTCATGGACTTTCCAGTTTGAGTTCCCACCGCTCTCTCTGTTAGATCTGGAGCCAAGTTCCTCCTGCCTGAGGGAAAAATGTCATTTGCTTCTTGGCAAGTAGATCTTGGTTTATCTGTGGAATGTCATCCAATTCAAAATTTCCTCAAAGGTCTTTGTATATAATTTCTACTATTTTCACATATAAATCTTTGTTTTATTCTCTTTAAACACTATAGAAATTGTCACTGAAAAATGTCACTTTTTGTCATCAATGCTACACTCTGGCTAAAGGCTCTCCCATTGATCGTCGATTTGCTCGAGCAGGCCCAGTAACGTCTCCATTGGAGACTTTGTTGTTACTGTGTCTGGCATATCGAATACTCTCGGTAGCTTGCCGGGCTCTCCGAGAGGGGCGGAGGAATCGAACTCGGGTCGCCCATGTTGGCCGCTTGTAAGGTGAACGCCCTACCGCTGTGCTATCGCTCCAGCCACTCTGGCATTTACTAATAATTTCTGAAGTGTTCTTAAGTGTTCTTACTTGTAGACAACACAGAGAATGATTTTTTAAAATTTTTTCAGCTCTTATTTATGTCTCAGATATGTGTTTTCTTGTGTACACAAACTGCCAATTTGCATATTTGTTTTCTTTATTTTATTTTTCCTTT